GATTCATCTGGCTCTGTCAAGGGCCGGCAACCTCCAATATTCGTAAAGTGTTAGCAGTGCTTGAATATGCTAAATTCACATGCATTGGAGCATTTGGCCATCATCAGACTTGATGCAGAAAAGGCCTTTGACAATGTCAACCTCAACTGGTTCTTCCTGGTAATGGTAAAATTTGGCTTTACAGGACACATTGTAGATTTTCTGTGTAATATGTGCTCTAATCCGACGGCATGGATTATAGCTTTAGGAGGCATTTCAGGTACCATCCCCCTACATAAGGAAACAAGAAAGGGATGCCCTCTTTCTCCCCTCCTGTTTAATTTAGCTTTGGAGCCCCTTTCCAGATACCTCCTCTGTCTCTCTTCATGACATACATATAGGCTCAAGTGAATTACGTAGGGCACTAGTTGCCGATGATATGCTAATTTTGATATCACACCCCTTTTCTGACTTAGAGACTCTACAAAAATATCCTAGAGTTAATCTCTGTTCCGGTTTACGTGTCAACTATGAAAAAAGCAAAGTTCTACCCCTCACATTCTATTGCACCCAAGTGGGATGCAGCATCCCCTTTTCCCCTGGCTCACCGTCACATAGTTTATTTGGGTATCAAAATAGGGAAGGACCATCCTTCCCATCTCAACTTCTAACCACTGTTTACTAAAATCTTTTAATCAGAACAAAAGACTTGGATGACTGTCCCCCTATCACTCTTTGGAAGATGCCACCTTGTTAAAATGGTGAGTTTTCCTTGCCCGCTATACCCTTTACAAACCATCCCTCTCCTCAAACATCAAGATGTGTGTAGGCTTCATTCAGTTATCAATGCATTCCTCCGGTCTAAGAAAAGGCCACGTATTGTATTATCCAAACTAAGGATGTGCTAATCTACCGAATATTAGGCTGTATAATCTGGTTTAGTGAGATAAGGTTTGGATTGGCTCTCTTATTCCTCAACATATGCGAACTTCGTTCTGCGGTCTAATCTAGAATTTCCCTTTCACCTGTCTGGCACTATTTTGATCCAAAATATGGATAGAGCGTGGAAGGAGACTAGGAAGAAGCTAAATCTTTCCCCACACATTTCTTGTTATCTAGAAATTCATGGTAATCCAATGTTTGCACAAGACATGGAATACAAGGTGTTTAACCTTTGGCGTACAAAAGGCCTGGTGAAAGCATTTTCCTTGATCCATCAAGATACCTTGAAACCAAAATCCTTTTCTGAGATAAGCATACAGTTCAATCTTCCTCCCTCACATCTTCTCTACTACCATCAGACGCTCTTATACATTAAAGTGGTTGTAAACCTAAAAAAAAACACAAATCATTCTAATCTTACAGGTTCAATAGATTTTACCTTTACTAATCATTTGAGCTTAGTTTTGTATCTTGAAGCAATCCCCTGCTCCAGAAATCCCCCCTACTCTTCTGAACAGAATAAATTCAACAAACAGAAAAATGGTGTTGCTGTGTTGTAAGCAGAGCCGACAGTCACTGGCACCTGTGTATATTCCCCTGAATTCACTCAGGAGACATGGTCGCATGCATAGAGATGTCAGATAGCTGTGCATGTTCTTGAGCCGAGGCTGGAGGGTGTGTATAACTGAGGGATTGTGTGATATCACATCTCTGCCTACTGTTCTCTGTTCCCGCAGACCAGCAGTTTTTGAAGGGCTGAGACAAGCTAAGGGAGTATTTTTCTGAGGTTCACTCACAGCTGTGTATTTGTTTACAATACAATTTATTCATTTATGTCAAAGTAATTTTTTTATATTTGGGTTTACAACCACTTTAAGTCCTGCTGTCCAGATACTTTGAGGTTTCGCCTTTCTCTGACTGATCACTTGTTAACCAAACATTCATACTCTATCTCTGAAACTTATAAGTCATTGCAATCAGTTTCTGCCACCACATTCGATGCACGCTTTGTGAAATGGTTTAACCATTTCAATACCGGGCAATTTTACACCTTCCTGCGCAGGCCATTTTTCACGTTTCATCGCTCTCACACTTTGAATGACAATTGCGCGGTCATAAAACATTGTACCCAAACTAAAATTTTATCATTTTCTTCACACAACTAGAGCTTTCTTTTGGTGGTATTTAATCACCACTGGGGTTTTTATTTTTTGCTAAATTAACAAAAAAAGACCAAAAATTTTGAAAATAAAACACGTTTTTCTTTGTTTCTGTTATAAAAGTTTACAAATAAATAATTGTTCTTCATAAATTTAGGCCGAGGTGTATTCTGCTACAGGTCTTTGGTGAAAATAACCCAAATTAGGATGTATTATTTAGTTTGTAGGAAAGTTATAGAGTTCACAAACTATGCTATAGATCTGAAAATTGATCAATCCTGAAGTACTGACAGCCAATCTAATTTCTTGAGGTCCAAGAATGTCAGAACAGTACAGATATCACCAAATGACCCCTTTTTGCAGAGTAGACAGTCCGACGTACTTCATAAGAGGAATGGCGAGTTTTTTAAAGTTGTATTTTTTTTGTCATAATTTTTTGGAAAATGAAAAAATTAAAAAAATTATTTACACTATTTTTTTTTTACATACTGTCACCAGTGCAGTACAGCGTCACCATATAACTGGCATGGCAGTGATCAGGGACACTGACTGGTGACAGCATGAAAAAAAAAAAAAAAAAAAAAAAAATATAATTATATATATATATATATATATATATATATATATATATATATATATATATATATATATATATATTATTTTTTAAATTTTTTATTAAATTTTTCTTTTATTTTTTTTTTCATATTTTTTTTTTGTGCTTAGCTGTGATTTGGCCACAGCTAATCACATGACATGTGCATGTGACCTGCTGTGACCATTCACAGCTAGGCACTAGTATACAATGGATGGCATGAAGCCATCCATTGTATACAACTGTCATGTGACCTGCTGTGATTGGTCACAGCAGGTCACATGGTACCGGCAACGGGACTCGGTACTCAGATCTGTCATCGGCCATGTCCGAGGTACACGGGCGGTGACAGATCGCGGCGGTGACAGATCGCGCCGCTGCGCGGCTCTGTAACTGCGCGAACTGCGCATGTGCGGGAAAGCTACAGCCGGAAAGCTACAGCACTTTTGATGCCGCCAAACGGCTATAGGCCGGGCGGCTAATGGTTAAAGATCTTCTGGAAAACAACTTGGTAGACAAGATTCTGGAGGACTATCTGAAAGTACGCAAGTGTAGAACAAATCAACTATGGAGAGAACTCAGTACAAATTGATACATAGAGCGTTTATCCAATTTCTCTCTCTCGGACACATTACTCACCCGGCAACGTGTCCTCAATGTGGGTCTCCCAAGCCTTCATTGTTTCACCATTTGAAGCTGTGCTCCCCAATCTCAAACTTTTGGGACCAAGTCATTACTTTCACTTATGGCATTACTGGGCAACTCCTTCCCAAGTTGCCTCTCATTACTATTCAGCTACAATGATCCTGGACACGCGCCCCAGGGAACATATTGGCTCTATTCTCCAGTGGGTGCCTTTTCCAGTGGGTGCATCTATGCCTTTTAGCAGCTTGCAAGAACATTTTGAAGATGTTAGCATCTTTTTCTGCACCTACAATAACTACAGTTAAGAAGGACCTTACACAGCTTCTTTGTCAAGAAAAACTGGACACTGAACTGCAGAACTATGTCCCTACAAACAGATTGTTTACCAGATAGCGCTCCTACATTGAACATACCTTCTCCTCTATGGAAAGTATGTCTTTAATGCAATCTTTCCAATACACCGAGTGGTATTTGACCAACTCTCTGGGCAACTTAAAGTTCAGGTATCCTTGACATTGTGATCTGTTTTTTTTTTTTTCTTTTCTACCCATCGGTTTCCTGGTGGTCCTTTTCCCTGCAAAATGGGGTATATATGGAGGGTCGATTGCTCCTTCCCCCCCCCACACTATTTCTTTCCATACATATTAATGCTAGGTCTAACACTATGGCTAACCTTTCAGTTGCATTTATATTCTGCAAATAAGGTTACTTTCTTATGTTATCTCCTTCTGTCGAGAGTCATCCAACCTACCGTTAGTTCTTCTGTCTCCATGTTACATGAGAGAATTATCACTTCATTTATACAGGAATGTTTTGTTTTCACTATACATTGTAGCAATTGTTTTACTTATATTGCATTTTAAGGCTTTCCTGAACCTTTTTTTCTATGGCATTGTCCTTTGAGAATGTTGAACAATTTTCATTCATATTTATTATGCTGTCTTTTCTTAAGCCGAGAATAAACATTAAAAAAAAAACCCCTTGCATAACAACATTCTTATTTCAAGTACTATGTTACATAAAAACACTATTCACTATTTCACTTCAGGTATTAAAATCTTGCTTGGTTGGTTAAAGGTAAAAAATTGCACATCTGAAAAAGGGTATGAGAGTAGACCAAGTTAAACATTTATTTGACCGTACAAACATTCCAACACCATACCTAAATAGACTTCAGGTGACAAACATACAGGTCTATAAATAATCCAAAACCAACAAGGATTCTTTTGAAGACTCCTTCCATAAATTGGATCATCATGCATGCATTTTAATGCCTAGACAGGATAAATTCAGAGTAGCTTGGAAAAAAAAATAATAATAATAAAAAAAAAAAATCACGATTTCTATTTACTTTTTTTACTAGGTACAGTTAAACAGAATGAGACACCAATGAGGAAATAAGGCCATAAATAGTGCTCTCAACATCTGGAAAGTTACTGGTTATAATATACATAAACACCAATATCCGTGGACCATTTCTCTTATTCTCCTAAAACCCTGTATGGTCATTCCACACCTTCCTATGCATTATATGAGTAATGTAAGGGCAAAGCTAGGTGTAAGGTAATCAAGACTGGTTAAATGACTTCCAAACTCCATGTTATGCATTAGAGCACAGGAATAGAAAGAACAAGAAGTTTCTAGCAAATTCAACATGTATATGTGGTTATGCCACGCAATACCTTATCTGCAGTGACTGAATTCTAAGTCCGCTGTAATCGACTTCTTTTTGCTCAAATTCTTTCCATTCATCGTCTTCCTAAAAAAAATAAAAATGTCATATTAGGAAAAAGGCAAGCTTGGTAATGTATCAGAATTTAAAAATCCAGTTACAAGGTACCAGAGAATACAAATTACCAAAATAAGAGTAAATACCAGCATATTAAATTCCTCCATGCCTATGGACCTATCCACACCAGCATTTATGCTGCGTTTTAACATGCTTTGTGTTCTGGCAGCACATTTGCATGAACTGCCAAACACACATTAGACCAAAAATCATGTGTTCCCCATTTCCTCCAGAGCAGCACAACGTGCAGTTGTGTGAAACCATGCACTGCGGTGCCCTGCTACACAGGTGTGTTAGGAAGGTGCACTGGGTGTCACCAACATCAGTGCACTGGTGTAAATGGGCCCTTAGATCTGTCAACATTACCAGGGTCTCCCAGCTGCTCTTCACTAAAGTAGTATTAAAGTGATTGTAAACTTTCAGGGTTTTTTTTTTTTTTCTAAATAAATATGTTATACTTACCTGTTCCTTGCAATGGTTTTGCAGAGCAGCCCCAATCCCGCACTACTGGATTCCCCCCACCGGCACTCCTGGCTCCTCACCCTGTCGAGTGCCCCAGTAGCAAGCTGTCTGCTATGGGGCTACTCATGCATGCATGCTCCCGCACAGCCACCTAAAAACAGGTGGAACATGTAATGTTCCCAAAGGTGAACTCATCCTTTATGGCCAAGTTCTGGTCAGGTTCTGACTGTAGGAAGGTCAGAATGTAAAGGCACAGAGTAATCTCTGGCACGGAGGTTCACATGACACAGAAAGGATTTCCAGGTTCGATAATAGACCTTTCTGGAAGTGGGTTTGCTCGCTTTAAAGAATGTGGGAATAACAGAGTCCCTAGAGCACTGAAGCACATCTGCACATGCACCAGAGTTACCCGACATCAGCATTAGCAAACTTTGGCCGTGCGCACACAGAGATGGCTAATAAGGAAAACTGGAAGCTGTCACTGTCTTTGCGCATGCGCAGATATGCTCACAAGCCCCGTCAGGACCTGAAAGCCTGGTCGGAGGCATTGGGCACATCTGCACCACATAACGAAGCAGATTGAAGTTCCGCTTTAAATATAGCACAAAATGTTTTTCTATATCCATTTGATATGTTCAAAAATACCCAATGATCTTGCCAGGGAGCTTCTAAGCAGAGAACTTTCAGTGCTCTCTGTCTCAGCTGACTTAAGTCAATAAACAAACAGTTACATTGTTCTCAGCCATCACTGAGGATTAAAGAAACAAATACCTCTACTTATGATGAATAGGAAAGGGGTAGGCTTTAGTAACCCTATGTTACTGTTGTCTTGATAGAGAAAGTGAGCACCATCATCCTAAAACTGGAAGTGTTACTTGCAGGATCACAAGGTAATATAGGAAAAAAAAAAAAAAAGTTGGAAAAAAAATGTAGAAAAACCAAGTACTGCTACCAAATCTAGGTAGTGGTACACTGCAATTTGTTTTACAATCCTTACATTGTCCAGGCAACAGCACCTCTGCCAGCTGGCTTCCAGGGGTGGGCTGCACCAAGCTTCTATAACTTAAATTATCATGGCTCTGGTCCCTTTGAAGAAGTCGGAGCACCGATGTAACACATAGGACAGAGCCTGTATATTGGGGTGTGCTGTAGTGACTGTGACCCCCCAAATCCATAGCAGCTGCAGCCTTTTCCATCCATCAGCTACCTGAGCTGTCAGCCAGAGGCATCTATTTGGCAATGAGCAGTGGGTACACCCCACTGTCAGTTTTTATATATACATATTACTCTGTATAGTGTCCTACTTTTTTTTAATAAAGTGACCTAAAGGTTTTTAACCACTTGCCTACAGGGCACTTATACCCCCTTCCTGCCCAGGCCAATTTTCATCTTTCAGCGCTGTCACACTTTGAATGACAATTGCGCAGTCATGCAACACTGTACCCATATGAAATTTTTATCATTTTTTTGAGACAGAGAGCTTTCTTTTGGTGGTAATCACCTCTGGGTTTTTATTTTTTTGCTAAACAAACCAAAAACTGAAAGTTTTGAAAAAAAAGTTTTCTTAGTTTCTGTTATAAAATTTTGTAAATAAGTGATTTTTCTTCTTCGCTGATGTGCGCTAATGAGGCTGCAGTGATGGGCACTGATAGGCGGCACTGACAGGCATCACCAATGGGCACTGAAAGGCAGCACTGATAGGCAACACTGACGTGCACTGATAGGTGGCACTGAAAGGCAGCTCAGATGGGCACTGATATGTGGCATTGATGTGCACTGGTAGGCACTGATGTGGCACTGGCAGGTGGCATTGATGGACACTGACAGGTGGCACTGATGGGGCTACACTAATCAGGGCACACTGATCATCAGTGCCCTGATTATCAGTGTACACGTCCCCTCTAAGGAATGCCGATTACTGGCTCTCCTCACGAGCTGTCAGGAGGAGCCAGTTACGCCGTGACGTCACACCGCCGGAGCCTCGTGGAGGTCCGGCGACCATCTTTAAGTCTGGACGGTTAGTCCTATTGCTATTGTTTACATCGGTTTTAATATCCAAGTTATTTTTATCTGTGGGAATATATACCCTTGAATAAACAATTCTTTACCTACTACACTATGGGCATTTTTTTTTGTCTGGCTCCCAGGTGGAGTGATTGGTTTTTAGAAGCCCATTCAAGACCAAAGATCCATCCCAGTATCCAGAGGGGATTTCCTGTACACTCAGGCAGCAACACCCACCCAACCCTTAAGGGGACCTCTGGATGTTTGGATCAATGTAGTGTCCTGGAGCTATCTACTGTGCTGCTCGCCCCTCAGAGGGAGGATAATCCACCACCTGGTCTACAATGATCTCCTTAAGAGGACATCTGGTTATATATTTACATGTGCATTTATGTTGCGCATCTGGTGACTGCGCAATTTTACTACACCCATTTGCACAAGCACCGGATTATCATTGGAACAGGCACCTACAGAGCACTTACTGTCACCTTTGAACTTTTAATATTTATTCATTATCTATTCATTTTTGAACTTCATTAGTACTCATTATTGATTTATTTACTGAGTCACTTTTACCGAGAATTTTAGCGCTGCACTGTGATTAGTTTATGTTACTGCTACTAAATGTCTTATGCTGGCCATACACGTATTTATTTTTGGAAGGGGAATATTTGTATGAAAATTCTACATTTGATGAATAAACGAATGTTGTTCGAAAATCTCACTTACTTTAACCACTTGCCTTTTAGAGGATTTAACCCCCACTTTCTAACTGTCCCATTTTTTGGGATACGGCGCTGCGTTATTTTAACCGACAATTGAGCACTCATGCAACATTGTACATAAATTAAATTTATGTAATTTTTTTCCCCCACAAATAGAGCTTTCTTTTGGTGGTATTTGATCACCTGTGCGGTTATTTTTTGAACTATAAACAAAAAGACTGACAATTTTGAAAAAAAGAAAAAAAAACCCATATATAATAAATATATTATATACATACATACATACACTTTTTGCTATAAAACATATCCAGTAAAAAAAAATTTTTTTAATCACATTTTGTCATAAATTTAGGCCAAAACGTATTCTGCTACGTCTTTGCTCAAAAAAAAAAAAAAAAACCCCAATACATGTAAACTAATTGGTTTATGTGAGTTTTAGCATCTACAAATGGCGGTATATATACTGGAATTTTTTATACTAGTAATGGCGGAGACTTATATCGGGACTGCGGCAGACATTCTGACATGGGGGGGGAGGGGGCTGACTGTCACCGACATCCCCAATGTCATTAATACAGTGATCAATGCTAATAAAAACTACTGTCACTGTACTGACACTGGGCAGGAAGGGGGTAAACATCTGGAGAGATCAAAGGGTTAACTGTGTGCTGTGTTTTACTGGGGAAACATGCTGCTGTGTATTTCTCTGCTATGCAGAGAAATACACAGCGGCATGTTATTGCTGGTAGGAGAGAGACCTGTGTTTACACACAGGTCTCTCCCGTCAGTGTTACTCGGTGATCGCCGGCGAGGAATCTCTGGCCGGGACCCGGTGATTGACATCTGTAGCCGCCAATGCTGCTGCAGGTAGGTCAAATGAAAATCACGTATATATACACATGTGATTTTATGCAGCTGTGCTGCCCTGTAGCAGTACTGCTGCTATACGGCAGAGGGGAAGCGGTTACCATTCAATTTTAATATGAATGTAATTTCTGAACGAAAAAAACCCCAAAATATACTGTCCGAAAATTAATTTGATCGAGAAACGTTTTGTATTCTGCTCCTTTGAATTTTCCCATCACTGTGGTTGAAAACGAACGTTGATTGGACCCCACTAACAATTAGGAAATCAGATGAATGTTCTTAAAATGAAATTTTAGAAAGAAAAATTTGTTTGTGTGTGGCCAGCATAAAACTGGGTACACAGGGTCTGAACATTGGCTGGTTCAGAGGGAACCGGCCCCCATTCTGACCATGTGCACTGCTGTCCTTCCGACAGAAGCTAGTCTAACCACTGGATTTCATCAAACAAACATGCTGGAAAACCAAAATCTGATCAACGCTCGCAGCCAATGCGATATTCTCAGAGTGGATTAGATATTTTGTTCCCTAACCATACAGCTGGTTATTTAGATTTACCACTGCAGATAGATATTAAAGAATAAATTGCCTTTTTTTTTAAACTACATATTACTAAAATTATACACCACACTTTTTTCAAGGTTTTTATCCAATTAATCGAAACAATAGTAATCGGCCAAGTAATGGATAATTAAAATAATCGTTAGATGCAGCCCTACTGTTCTTATAAGCCTCTTGCACACACAATGCCTAAAAACGCCATGTTTTTAGGCATTTTTCTTTACGGATATAAAGCATTGCATTTACTTTTTTTTAGTGCATTTACCATTTTTTGTTTTGGGAGCCTGGAAGCATTCAGCAGATCACTGGTGACTTGCAGGACTCCTGCAGACCTGTCAGTGTTTGTGTCCTTGTATGAGCATGCAGATGCACTCTGATAGGAAGAATCAATGAACTACCACAGCCCTCCACAGTGCCGTGTTAGGTTAATGAGAACTACAAGATGACAGCCGCAAATGCTGTTGGAATTTGTAGTCTTCCCATTCACAGAATACTGTTAGGAGAGGTTAACTTATCCTTTAATGGGCCTGTACACAGGCACGTAAAGTTGCGCTGCATATATCACACAAAAGACAAAAAAAAAATTAAATCTGCTTTACTAGTCAGTATTTTTGTGAGCAAATATGCACATATGCCACCTCCCCTTGATTTAAAAAAGCCAGAAGAACGTTTCCCCATGTGTATGCCTACACACAAATACGTGTAAATGTGCGCTAGTCCTACATAGTACAGTCTCGTGTTTTTTCTGCCAGGAATATCCGATTTTCATAAATCAGTACCAATTTGTGCAAGCATACTTGGGGCCCAATAACACTAGCGCAGGGGTGTCAAACTGGTGGCCCTCCAGCTGTTGCCAAACTACAAGTCCCATGAGGCATTGCAAGACTGACAGTTACAAGCATGACTCCCAAAGGCAAAAGGCATGATGGGACTTGTAGTTTTGCAACAGCTGGAGGGCCGCCAGTTTCACACCCCTGTACTAGGGGGTTAGGGCGTTTGGTGTGTCAACTTTGCACTGACACCTGCTGCAGATCACAAGGGCAGTGCAACTGGAATGCAGTTGCTGGAAACGGGCACAGAACGCAGGTCTTCCGCACCACATTCTAGTGTGAACTGTCCCCTATGAGGGGTACACACTAAATTTGCTTAATTAAACCCAGTGGGATAAACGGAAAAAAAAAACACAAAAAACAAAACTTACAGATCACTGTACTAACACAAGCAATGTTAGTGTGGCAATTCCCCCACTGAGCTATTGTATTCTTACAGGGGGACTGCCCCCCGCCAGAACACACCGATCAGCATTCACAGCCATGCCCGGAAAGCAGAAACTGGGCATGAGACCAGCTTCTGTCAGACAGGGATCTGTACACATGGGCCAAAAATCAGCAAGTTTCTGCCAAACCGACCATTTTCAGCCCATGCATACCCAAGGCTTAGGGTGCAGTGTGATTTCAGACCATTCATTCGAATGGGATGAAATCTCGACATAAAAATAGTACATGCACTACTTTACAATACGCACAGCAACTGGATTGCACTGTACTTTTATACCATGTGATCCTGCGGAGGCAAACACAGTGGGGGAGATTTACTAAAGCTAGCTGCACCTGTGCAAGGTCCCCAGTCACCTTCTAACCTCAGCTTGTTCAATTAAGCTTTAGGCCCCTTTCACATGGGGTGGACCCATCAGCTGATCAGCCCGCTGAGCAAGAGGATGACAGCTCTGTGTCCGCTCGGCTTATGCAGAGAGAACACGGACACAGCCAACTGTCCGCCATGGGCTGTCGGATAGAAATGGACCACATGTCCATTTATATATGACTGTCACCCAATCCAATCAGCCAGATGGATGGAGAACGGAACTCCATCGGTCTGTTTTTAACGGACAGGATCAGAAGCAAGCAGGTCTAAACTGACACGCCCGTTTACACCCACCGCTACATAGAGAGCAGCGGAGCATCAGACCGGGTCCGCTTGAAAAACAGACAGGCAGACCCGATTGGTTCACTCATGTGAAAGGGGCCTTAACAATAAAAACTGAAAGCTGATTGGTTTCCATGCAGAAGTGCACAAGATTCTGAGTGAACCATCTTTAGTAAATAAACCTCAGTGTGTTCTGAAGACGGGTTTCCCACACCAAACTGTGGTCTGAACTGGGCCTAGGTTCACTCTATTGCAGGTGGATAAGAATGGCAGCTGTTCAGCACCCACAACCACCTGTGGCCAAAATACGCTTTTTTTAATAGACATGCAAGGCTGCTATGCATCCCACACATCCAGAAATATCATTGCGTGTGCGGGGAACCACAGGGAAATCACACAGTGCAAAAGCACCAAGTGATTCCCTGGCCACTGCACTTTAAAAATGCTGCAGGAACCTTTTTCCTGCTTGAAGCGCAAGCACATACGTCCATTCAAAAGAATAGGCTGCCGTGTCTGCACAAACGTGGCCCGCAAACCGTGTGAACTGAGCGCAAATTAGGGTGTACAGTAAAGATATGATAATATAAGAGACGTGGGTTTCCTCCGGGTACTCTGGTTTCCTCCCACACTCCAAAGACATGCTGGTAAGTTAACTGGATCCTGTCTAAATTGGCCCTAGTATGTATGTGCAGCACAGTGGCTAAATGGTTAGCACTTCTGCCTGGCAGTACTAGGGTCGCTGGCTCGAATCCCAGCCACGGCACCACCTGCCTGGAGTTTGCATGTTCTCCCTGTGCCTGAGTGGGTTTCCTCCGGGTACTCCGGTTTCTTCCCACACTCCAAAGACATGGTGGTAGGTTAATTGGCTCCTGTTTGAATTGTCCCTAGTATGTGTATGTATGAATGTAAGTTAGGGACTTTAGATTGTACACCCCTTGAGGGTTAGGGACTGATGTGAATGTATAATATATATGTAAAGCGCTGCAGAAATTGACAGCGCTAGATAAGTAACTGAAATAAATGTATGAATGTAAGATAGGGACTGATATAAAGCACTGCGTAAATTGATGGCGCTATAGATGTACCCGTAATGAAAAAGAAAAAAAAAAAGAGACCCCCTACTTAGTAATGCTGATCTTGAGAAAAAGAGCCACAAAGGTCACATGACCCAGAATGAGCTTCCCTCTATTAGCTGCAGGCAATCTACACCCACCAATCAGAAGGCAGCAGTGGAAGGAGCCTGGCACATACATTCATCACACTGCCAGGATGCCAGTGTTTGCTGGTGGTGACCCCAGTCTGTTTTCCTTTGGCCTTGACAGGCAGCCTGTGACACACATGTGACAATGACAAGTGGCTCCCACGTGTACTGCTGAGAACAGAGCGCGCCTATGGCGTCCCTGTGCTGTCCCCGGGCTCAGGCACTTTACCTTCTCCTGCTGGGGGTCCTGAGCCTCGCTTTTGCCGAACTTTTCCTTCCTGAAGCTCTTGGCCCCTCCGCTGCTCAGGGACACTAATGAGGACTGTGACCCGTCCGGCGGCCTGGCTGCCCCCCTGCTGGCGGGCGCACTGGCCTTGTCTTTCTTCTTCTTTTTGTCTCTTTTAGCGAAGAAGTCGTCCAGGCTCCTCTCTTCGGGTTCAGCCATGGCGCCGGTAGCGGTGACACACGACAGACAGGGGTTAAAGCGTCGATGGGCGCTGCGCACGGCACACACCGGTCGCACTCACTCACTGGAGCGGCGAGGCCGGAAGCGCTGCCCACACCCGGGATTAAGCCATCATGACCGCGCTGGCGGGGGTGACCGGCTGTGACTCGGCGCTCTAAGCTTAGGCAGTGTGCGATCACGTGTATAAGAAACACCCCTCTGTGCTTTCCAGTAGTATGGACTACCTCGCGCTAGCTTCTCAGCCTAGAACGTGTCTCGCCGCTTGCGTTGCTGGTTTTTTTTTTTCACAACATAACTTTATTGACAACGGGACCTGGAAGTGCATGTGTACCAAAAAAACGCGACTTCCCTTGTGTTTATCCGTCGTGCTGTTTTAAAAAAAAGTTGCATATATTAATGTATTTTTAGAAAATTTAGAAAAAACCTCACTGGATCCTGATGTTTGGTGTCCGTCCTGTGGAGGTGTCAGTGACATCTTCCTTCACTTCATGGAGACACCAGTGACGTCTTGTGTCCGCTTAGTAGAGTCACCAATTATGTCTTTCATCTGCTTCCTGGAGGCACCAGTGATGGCTTCCATCAGGTTTCTGGAGGCACACGTTACAGCTTCCATTTGTTTCTTGGAGGCACCAGTATCGTCCTTCATCCGCCTCATGGAGTTACCAGTGGTGGCTTCTGTCTGTCCACTTCCTAAAGGCACCAATGAAATCTTCCATCTGCTTCCTGGAGGCACCAGTGACAGTTTCCATTGGCTTCCTTGAGGCACACATTGCAGCTTTGTCTGCTTTCTGGAGGCATCAGTGAAATCTTCTGGCTGCCTCTTGAAGGCACCAATGAGAGTGTTTGCTTCTTGGAATTGGCATTGACATCTTTCATCCGCTTCCTGGAGACATTAGTGATGTCTTCCATCTACTTTCTGGAAGGCTTTCATTGACTGGCTGGAAGCACAAGTTACGTCTTCTGTCTGCTTCTTGGAGGCACAAGTGACATCTTCCATCACTTCCTGAAGGCGCCAGTGACATATGTTGTCGCATCCTAGAGGCACCAGTGACGTCTTCTGTCCATTTCTTGAAGGCACCAGCAACGGTGTCTGCCTGCTTCTTGGAGTTGTCAATGACATCTTTTGTCTGCTTTCTGAAGGCACCAGTGATGTCACTGTTCACTTGGAGGCACCAATGATGTCTTCCATCCACTTCCTGGAGTTGCCAATAATGTCTTCTATCTGTCTACTGGAGGCATCCATGATGGCTTCCTAAAGTTACAAGTTACAGCTCCCTGGAGGCACAAGTTATGGTTTCCACCTGCTTCCTGGAGGCACCAGTGACATCTTCAATCGGCTTGTCAGAGACACAAGTTTTGGCTTCTGTCTGCATCCTGGAGATGCCAGTGACATTTTCTGTAAACTTCCTGAAGGCACCAGTGATGGTGTCTGCTTTCTGGAGGCACCAGTGACATCTTTTGTCTCTTTCCTGGAGGCACCAGTAATGTCTTCTGTTCACTTTTGTTTGTGCCAGTGACTGTGTCTGTCTGCTTTCTAAAGTTGTCAATTACATGTTTTGCCTGCTTCCTGGAGGCACTACTGATGTCATCTGTCCACTTTCTGGAGGCGCCAATGATGTCTTCCATCCACTATCTGGACATGTCAGTGTCGTCTTCCATCTGCTTCCTGGAGATATCAGTGATGACTTTAGAGAGGTACAAATTACAGCTTCAAACAGTTTCCTGGAGGTACAAGTTACAGCTTTCATCTGCTTCATGGAGGCAGCAGTGATCTTTTTAATCCATGTCATGAAGGCACCAGTGGCTTCTTCTGTCCACTTCCTGGAGGTGCCAGTGACAGCTTCCTGGAGGCACGAGTCACTGCTTCCTGAAGGTGACAGTGTCTGTCTGCTTCCCAAAGTTATAAGTGATGTCTTCCATCCACTTCCTGGTGGCACCAGTGACGTCTTCTATCCACTTTGTGCAGGCGCCAATGATTTCTTATGTTTGCTTCCCGGAGGTGCCAGTGGTGGCTTCCATCACCTTCCTGGAGGCACAGGTTAAGACTTCTGTCTCCATCGTGAAGACACCAGTGACATCTTCTGTCCACTTTCTGAAGGTGCCAGTAACAGTGTCTGCTTCCTGAAGATGCCAGTGACATCTTCTGTCTGCTTGGAGGCAAAAGTATTGGCATTCTTGAGGAACAACTAACATCTTCCATCTGCTTCCTGGAGTCGCCAGTGACATCGTATGTCTGCTTCCTACACCAGTGACATCTTCTGTCTTCTTCCTGGAGTGCATCTTCCATTTGCTTCCTGGAGGCACCAATGATGTCTTTTGCTTGCTTCTCTTTGGTGCCAGTGACGATCTCCATCTGCTTCCTCGAGGCACAAGTTACAGCTTCCGTCTACTTCCTGGAGTTGTGATTGACATCTTCCATCTGTTTCCTGGAGGAAACAGTGATTACTTCCGTCCACTTCCTAGAGGCATCACTGGCGTATTCTGTCCATGTCCTGGAGGCACCAGTGGCATCTTCCATTCACTTCCTCGAGGTGTCAGTGGAGGCTACTGCCTGCTTCTCGGAAGCATCAGCGATGTCTCTCTACTTCCTGGAGTTGTCAATACCAGCTTCTGACTGTTTCTTGAAATTGTCAGTAACGGCCTACGCCTGCTTACTGGAGGCACCAATGATGTCCTCCGTCTTCTTCCTGGAGGCACCAATGACCGTTTTCATCTGCTTCCTGGAGGTGCCATCGACAGCATCTGTGTGTTTTCTAAGGCACCAATGACATCTTCCATCTGCTTCCCAGAGTAGCAAGTGATGTCTTCCACTTGTTTCCTGGAAGTGCTAGTGACATATTTTGTCTGCTTCCTAAAAGCACCAGTGATGTGATGTCTTCCATTTATTTCCTGGAGTTGCCAGTGACATCTTCAGTCTGCTACCTTGAGGTGCCAATGACATTTTCTGTCTGCTTCTTGGAAGCGGCAATGACATCTTCTGTCTGCTTCCTGGAGGAACCTGTGACAGCTTCTGTCCTATTTCTAGCGTTGCCAGCTACAGCATTTAACTGCTTCCTGTATGCCTCCATAATAACTTACATCCACTTCCTGAAAGGTCAAATGATGGCTTTATTTGCTTACTAGAGGCGCCAGTGACATATTACATCAATTTATTAGCAGCACCAGTGATGGCTTCAGTCAACTTCCTGGAGGTGACAGCTTCTGTTTGTTTGCTTGAGGCATCTGTGGTAGCTTCTGTTCCATTGCTAGAATTGCCAGTGACAGCGTCCATCTGCTTCCTAGAGACATCCTTGATGGCTTGCATCCACTTGCTAAAGGCTCCAATGATGGCTTCTGTCTGCTTCCTGAAGGTACCAGTGATGGGCTGTGTCCACTTCCTGAAGGCACAAGTGAAGGATTTTCTCCACTTCCTGGAGGCACCACTGAATACTTCTGTCTGCTTCATGGAGGTGCCAGTGATAGCTTTTATCTGACAGATTTGAAAGGACAGTCCAACATCTAGGTACTCTGTCTCGATCATGCTGTGTCCCAGACTGCATTCTGAGATCACCCCTATTGCCATTCATTTTGCTAGCCATTTTATATGCACATTTTATTCACTCAATAAAGTTTATTATTCGGGAAAACAAGTGCCAGCTATACCGATCCTCATCATTGAGCCAGACCCTGGTGAAAAAAGAGAGGAGGAGGATGAAAAACCAATGTTCCAGGGATGTAAAAACCCCCTTTCTCAAGAACCTCCAACACATACCAGCACTTTATGCAAACTTACCTTTGAAGCGAAGCCTTGCAGCGGCATGCTGTCATTGCTGCTTGGGCTTCCATTATCACTTGGTCTTCTTTCCGGTTTGTGAGCTACGGCCATTTGAATGCCTGGGCTGCGACTACATCACTTCCACACATGTGCGTGGGAATCATGATGATGGAGGTGTCATACTATGTGGTCCTGAATGCAGAGCGTCACTGTGCATGCCCAGATGATGTAATTGGCTATTGTATTGTACCTACAGGTTAGATTGATTGTAGATACAAATCTAGGAAGCACACAGAGTGCTAACACTTGAATTCTCTTGTTGCCAGGTCCGTACATTGTACAGTAGTCCGGAAACAAGCCCCACCCCCTCCATGCAAGTTCCTTCCATGTATCGCAGGCTCTGCTTGCCCATTTGCGGGCCCTGGACTGGCATAGGGGGTTCTTCTGGATAGAGGTGAGGGAGCTGAGCAGACACAACTTTCCTCCCCTTCTTGTTGCGGACCTGGAAGTGATGTCCAAAACGTCACTTCTGGGTCCCCCTTTCAGTTTCCCTTGCCAGGAAAGAATGTATTGCAATGAGATCTGCACTGCATTACATTCAGTGGAACACGAGAGAAATACAGGGTCTTTTAGACCCTGGATGTCTCTTTAAATATAGCCTGTCACCAAGAAATCATCACATAGGGGACTTTTTGGAGGTAAAAATTTGTGCATGTATTATTTTTTTTCTCAGAGGCTGCAGACCAGTGGATCCGGCTGCTACATTCTCTTTACTCTGTCTCTGTGCCCATACTCCCTTATGGACTGTCAGTTTCAGAGCTGCAGGAAGGATGTACAATCTACAAGGGCGCCCTTGCAGTCCAATAAAAACTACAAGCCATCTGCCGTGGTAGCAGAGGGGACTTGTAATTCATTTATTCACAGATCTGTGTAAACAAATTAAGTGGTTGTGCAGGGAAAAGGAACCCCCTGCCTACTGTCATGGGGGGGGGACCTTAGGGAGTTGGGGGGCTGCTGCGTAGTAAAATGTTACTAAAGGTGAACCTATCCTTTAAAGTGGTTGTAAACCCCTATATATAATCAGTGAAATGTCTAGTTTTAGGTGATACACAGAGATGAAACAAATCCTCCTACATAAGTTGTACCTGTTTATCTGTAGCCTTTTCTTCTGTAGACTGTTCTGATAGAGCAAATGACTTTCTTCTCAGCTTTAGCAGCAGGGGGC